TGTGTGTGTGTGTTCGCGGATGTACTCACACAAGTACATTCACATATGAAATTACATGCAATAATCCCCTCCCCTAACCCCCCTTACCATCGCCATTACCAAACCACAACAACCCAAATAACCCCTTTTATCTCTCCCCTTTTCCCCTTCCCTCCCTCAATCCCTCCCTCCCTTCCCTCCCTCCCTCCCTCCCACCCATACCTTCATCCCCCGGCAGATTCGTGACGGCAGACGGGAAACCTCACCGCTCTTCGGCCGTTACTGCGGGCCCGAAACCCACCGACCGGACCCGATCATCTCGACGCACAACTACATGTGGATTAAGTTCGTGACGGATGCCAGCGTCAACAACCGGGGTTTCATCGCGAATTACACTACGATTGACACGTGTAAGTGGCGGAGGGTTTCAGGTGTTTGAAGTCTGCGTTTTGAAGGCTTGCGTAGGTACATATATGAATGCATGCTATATGTGTGTGTGTGTGTGTGTGTGTGTGTGTGTGCGTGCGTGCGTGCGTGCGTGCGTGTGTGTGTGTGTGTGTGTGTGTGTGTGTGTGTGTGTGTGTGTGTGTGTGTGTGCGTGCGTGCGCGTCAGTGTTGGGTCAAGAACATTGTAAAGAAAATAGCAACGGAAGGTATTAAGGACTGAAGGAGTGTTACGCAGCTAAACGAGGTATCCATCACATGTCCATCAGCTGTCCGATTAATCTCGAGGACAGAGAGTGACCTTGCTTTTTTCTGCGGAGTGATGCCGATTTTCCTTTTCTTTCTTTCTTTTTTCTTCTTTTTTTTTACTTTAATGTAGCACAAACAAGGCAGAAGAAACAGTTATTACGAACATCATGATAGAGTCATGATTAACTATTTCAAATATATTGATTTAATTGTGCTCATATATATATGTAGATATAAGAGAGAGAGAGAGAGAGAGAGAGAGAGAGAGAGAGAGAGAGAGAGAGAGAGAGAGAGAGGAGACAGGCAAAGAGAGAGAGAAAGGGAGAGAGATTATACTAACACACTAATTATTCATAATGCAGATAAAATAGGTTTAAATGACATCATCATTTAATCATGCATATAAATAAATAACACCTTGATATCTCATATTTGATTAGATGCAGTAATATATGATAATATCCCGTAGTTACATTACGCTGCATAATTATTCTTGCTTGATCAAACTTTCATTACGTAAATTAAAAAAGTAAAAAAAAATAAATAAATAAATAAAAAAATAAAGAAATAAAAAGAAATAAAATAAAATAAAAAAGGGAAAAAAATAAAAGAAAAATAAAAAAAGAAAAAAAGAAAATAAAAATAAAACAATAAAAAATATATAAATAATAGAAAATAATACAAAAAATTAAAACATAAATTAAAAGACAAGATTTGCTGACAATATTAAAAAACGTCCAGAAGAGAATTTACAAGGATTAATGGGAAAAAAATCTCAGTTAATCCAGAAATTAATCCATTAATCCCAAAATCCTTTCATCCTCATATTAGCGTATGAAGACATCCATACGGGATCTCTCAGGACGCATTCATTAATCCCCAAATTCCTCATTAATCCCCAAGAGTCTCTCATACATTAATCCCCAAATTCCTCGTTAATCCCCAAGAGTCTCTCATACATTAATCCCCAACTTCCTCATTAATCCCCGAGAGTCTCTCATACATTATTCCCCAAATTCCTCGTTAATCCCCAAGAGTCTCTCATTCATTAATCCCCAAATTCCTCATTAATCTCCAAGAGTCTCTCATACATTAATCCCCAAATTCCTCATTAATCCCAAAGAGTCTCTCATACATTAATCCCCAAATTCCTCATTAATCCCAAAGAGTCTCTCATTCATTAATCCCCAAATTCCTCATTAATCCCCAAGAGTCTCTCATACATTAATCCCCAAATTCCTCATTAATCCCAAAGAGTCTCTCATACATTAATCCCCAAATTCCTCATTAATCCCCAAGAGTCTCTCATACATTAATCCCCAAATTCCTCATTAATCTCCAAGAGTCTCTCATACATTAATCCCCAAATTCCTCATTAATCCCCAAGAGTCTCTCATACATTAATCCCCAAATTCCTCATTAATCCCCAAGAGTCTCTCATACATTAATCCCCAAATTCCGAATCCCAAAGAGTCTCTCATACATTAATCCCCAAATTCCTCATTAATCCCCAAGATTCTCTCATACATTAATCCCCAAATTCCTCGTTAATCCCCAAGAGTCTCTCATACATTAATCCCCAAATTCCGAGTCCCAAATCCTCTGTTCATTCCCATATACCTCATTCATTAATACCCCAATCCTTAATTACTCCCCAATTATCTAATTAATCCCTAAACCCCTCATTAATCTCCCCAAGTCCCTCATTAATCCCCCCCCAAAAAAATATCTCATTAATCCCCCCCCCAAAAAAAACTCATTAACCCCCCCCAAAAAAAAAAAAAAAAAAAACTCATTAATCCCCCCAAAAAAATCCCTAATTAATAAAAAAAAAACTCATTAATTCCCCACCCCCACCCCCCCCAAAAAAAATCCCCCATTAATCCGGATCTCCCCCCTCTTTCCAGCGTGCGGCGGCATCATCCGGGACCTTTCGGGGCACATCAACTCCCCGAACAGCCCTGACCAGTACCCGGGCGTGACAGACTGCCGCTGGATTATCGACCTGCCCCCTAATTACGTCATTCAGATCACGTGGCATACCTTCGCGTTGGGGAGTAGTTACTGTGAGAGTAATTACGTGCAGATGTTCGACAACTCGTCTATTACTGGGACCGGAGGAATGATGGGAGAGTAAGTAGTTGCTTGGTTTTGGTTGGTTTTGGTAGGTTTTGGATGTTTTGGTTGTGTGTGTGGTGTTTTTTTTTTTTTTTTTGGGGGGGGGGGGGGGGGGAGGGTGTTTTTTTTTTTTGGTAGGGTTATCTGTGGTGTGATTTTTTTTTTTTTTTTTTTTTTGGGGGGGGGAGGGGGTTGGGTTTTTTTTTTGTTTTTTTTTTTTTGGTAGGGTTAGATTTTTTTTTTATTTATTTATTTTTTTTTGGGGGGAGGTTGTTTTTTTGTTAAGGTTGTCTGCGATGTGACTTTTTTTTTGTTTTGTTTTTTGTTTTTTTAAGGTTGTGTGTGGGTTGGTTTGGGTAGGTTTTAATGGTAGGCGGTGGGTTAAGAATGTGGTTTACAGTGTTCATTGGTTGTCTGGTTGTGAGTTACTGTATATATATGCAGCTTATACACTGACAAAAAAAAAGATCCTCTACATGCGCGAGAATATATATATATTTTTTTTCTGTATCATTTTTTCCCCCTAATAGACGATACTGTGGCAGCAACACCCCCCCGATTATGACGTCATCGAGCAACCTGGTCACCATTCACTTCCACGACGAATACACTTTCAGCCAAGATTCGTTCTCGGCTATCTATCACGGCATCGATTCCTCCACTAGTATGTGAAGATGAGGGCTCGCATCTTGGTCTACATGTGTGAATGTATGTATGTATGTATGTATGTATGTATGTATGTATGTATGTATGTATGTATGTATGTATGTATGTATGTATGTATGTATGTATGTATGTATGTATGTATGTATGTATGTATGTATGTATGTATGTATGTATGTATGTATGTATGTATGTATGTATGTATGTATGTATGTATGTATGTATGTATGTATGTATGTATGTATGTATGTATGTATGTATGTATGTATGTATGTATGTATGTATGTATGTATGTATGTATGTATGTATGTATGTATGTATGTATGTATGTATGTATGTATGTATGTATGTATGTATGTATGTATGTATGTATGTATGTATGTATGTATGTATGTATGTATGTATGTATGTATGTATGTATGTATGTATGTATGTATGTATGTATGTATGTATGTATGTATGTATGTATGTATGTATGTATGTATGTATGTATGTATGTATGTATGTATGTATGTATGTATGTATGTATGTATGTATGTATGTATGTATGTATGTATGTATGTATGTATGTATGTATGTATGTATGTATGTATGTATGTATGTATGTATGTATGTATGTATGTATGTATGTATGTATGTATGTATGTATGTATGTATGTATGTATGTATGTATGTATGTATGTATGTATGTATGTATGTATGTATGTATGTATGTATGTATGTATGTATGTATGTATGTATGTATGTATGTATGTATGTATGTATGTATGTATGTATGTATGTATGTATGTATGTATGTATGTATGTATGTATGTATGTATGTATGTATGTATGTATGTATGTATGTATGTATGTATGTATGTATGTATGTATGTATGTATGTATGTATGTATGTATGTATGTATGTATGTATGTATGTATGTATGTATGTATGTATGTATGTATGTATGTATGTATGTATGTATGTATGTATGTATGTATGTATGTATGTATGTATGTATGTATGTATGTATGTATGTATGTATGTATGTATGTATGTATGTATGTATGTATGTATGTATGTATGTATGTATGTATGTATGTATGTATGTATGTATGTATGTATGTATGTATGTATGTATGTATGTATGTATGTATGTATGTATGTATGTATGTATGTATGTATGTATGTATGTATGTATGTATGTATGTATGTATGTATGTATGTATGTATGTATGTATGTATGTATGTATGTATGTATGTATGTATGTATGTATGTATGTATGTATGTATGTATGTATGTATGTATGTATGTATGTATGTATGTATGTATGTATGTATGTATGTATGTATGTATGTATGTATGTATGTATGTATGTATGTATGTATGTATGTATGTATGTATGTATGTATGTATGTATGTATGTATGTATGTATGTATGTATGTATGTATGTATGTATGTATGTATGTATGTATGTATGTATGTATGTATGTATGTATGTATGTATGTATGTATGTATGTATGTATGTATGTATGTATGTATGTATGTATGTATGTATGTATGTATGTATGTATGTATGTATGTATGTATGTATGTATGTATGTATGTATGTATGTATGTATGTATGTATGTATGTATGTATGTATGTATGTATGTATGTATGTATGTATGTATGTATGTATGTATGTATGTATGTATGTATGTATGTATGTATGTATGTATGTATGTATGTATGTATGTATGTATGTATGTATGTATGTATGTATGTATGTATGTATGTATGTATGTATGTATGTATGTATGTATGTATGTATGTATGTATGTATGTATGTATGTATGTATGTATGTATGTATGTATGTATGTATGTATGTATGTATGTATGTATGTATGTATGTATGTATGTATGTATGTATGTATGTATGTATGTATGTATGTATGTATGTATGTATGTATGTATGTATGTATGTATGTATGTATGTATGTATGTATGTATGTATGTATGTATGTATGTATGTATGTATGTATGTATGTATGTATGTATGTATGTATGTATGTATGTATGTATGTATGTATGTATGTATGTATGTATGTATGTATGTATGTATGTATGTATGTATGTATGTATGTATGTATGTATGTATGTATGTATGTATGTATGTATGTATGTATGTATGTATGTATGTATGTATGTATGTATGTATGTATGTATGTATGTATGTATGTATGTATGTATGTATGTATGTATGTATGTATGTATGTATGTATGTATGTATGTATGTATGTATGTATGTATGTATGTATGTATGTATGTATGTATGTATGTATGTATGTATGTATGTATGTATGTATGTATGTATGTATGTATGTATGTATGTATGTATGTATGTATGTATGTATGTATGTATGTATGTATGTATGTATGTATGTATGTATGTATGTATGTATGTATGTATGTATGTATGTATGTATGTATGTATGTATGTATGTATGTATGTATGTATGTATGTATGTATGTATGTATGTATGTATGTATATACTCATATGGCGAAAGTAATACCTTCAGACTAACGTATAAATAGGATTTGACGTTAATGCTATGACTCTTGCCATATACTACTAATCATTATATATTATCATATATCAGCACCGTCATGATAATATTTCATCCCATAATAACACACTTTTCCTTCGCTCCTCCCTACAGAAATGGCGGCTACTCAACCTCTCCCTTATTGAAGAAAATATGCAGCAAAAACGCAACGGTTCACGATATCGTATCCCATTCCTTCCAGCTCTACTTGAAGTTCAAAACCGACTCTACCTCGAATTATAAAGGATTCAATATCTCTTGGGAAATGGCTGACTCGCGTGAGTATATGTATGTGTATAAGTAAGAGGTTCAGAACTGGATTTTGTATGAATGTTAAAGGGTTTAATGCATCAAGTGAATAAAAAACATATTTAATAGGTTCAGAACCGACTCTTACACGAATTATAAAGGATTCAACGTCTCTTGGGAAATGGATGACTCGCGTGAGTATATGTATAAGTAAGAGGTTCAGAACTGGATTTTGTATGAATGTTAAAGGATTTAATATATCGAGTGAATAAAAAAAACATTTAAGAGGTTCAGAACCGACTCGAATTACAAACGTCTCTTGGGAAATGGCCGATTCGCGTGAGTATATGTATATGTATAGTTAAGAGGCTCAGAACTGGATTTTTTATGAATGTTAAAGGATTTAATATATCGAGTGAATGAAAAAAAAAAAGAAAAAAAAAAAAACATATTTAAGAGGTTCAGAACCGACACGAATGATAAAGGATTCAACATCTCTTGGGAAATTGCCGATTCGCGTGAGTATAAGTAAATGTATAAGTAAGAGATTCAGAAGCAAATCCTATATGAATGACAAAGTATAAGTATAATCAAGAGGTTCGCAGCTGACTTTTATATGAATTACAAAGGGTTCAAGTGTGCGTTAGAGGTTCAGAACCCGTCCATGAATTACAAATTGCTCAACGCGTCTTGGGAAATGACTGACTCGTGTGAGTATGAGTTCAACTATTAGTAAAGGGAAGAGGTTCAGAACCGACTACAAGGGATTAAAATATAAGGAGTAAGGGAGAGGGAGTATAAAGGGTGGGGGGGGACGGGATTCACGTATGAAGAGTTGTGTGTGTGTGTGTGTGTGTGTGTGTGTGTGTGTGTGTGTGTGTGTGTGTGTGTGTGTGTGTGTGTGTGTGTGTGTGTGTGTGTTCGTGCTTGTGTGTGTGTCTACGTGCGATTCCCCATGCCTATGTATGTATGCACTTCAGTGTACGCATGTATAGACCTAACTTACTAAAAAAAAACCTTACTTCTCCACCCTCACGCGTTCTCCACGTCCACCAGAATGCGGTGGAGAACTCACAGCTGTGTCCGGAGAGTTCGTGTCGCCCGGCTACCCCGAACCGTACCACAACAGCGCCCTCTGTGTGTGGCGGATCCGCGTGGCGCAGGGAAGCAGTGTGAGACTGAGATTCGTCGACCTCGACCTCGAAAACGCCCCCAACTGCATGT